ACCAAAACCAGTTATTATAGAACTGTGTACACCATAGCAAACATATGTCTGCACCGTATGTCATATGTATTAATTTAATTACATACACGACTAAACAAGTATATATTATAAAAACAATATATTTTTGCCCACTTAAAATACGACCAATTTGCGATCTATACACGTGATTTAAGAGTGACCAAGACAGCTATGCCAGTCTGGGAATGTAGTACAAAATCGCAGCGGGGAAACAGTTTGGTGTAAAGGCTGGCATTTCAATATATAGAATGTTTCCGAATTTAGCAAAGAATTCAATAAGCATGTGGTCTTCCGGAATTCTACCCACATTTGAAAAGAGTAAATATAAAGTACATTTGGTCATTCGTTGACAACATACTCTGGTCAGCGTTGGTTTATAAATAAATAAAATGAGAATCTGAACATGATAAACATCAACACAAATCGTATAAGAGATGCCCTTCAGTGAACTTTCTTGTTTGAGCCAACAATGTGCGAAATGGCGCGATTCAATGGGAAAATGCCAGCCGTTTGCCACGCTGTCTCTCGTAACGTAGCGGTAAAACCACTTTAACTTATAGGTAAACCAAGCAGAATGCAGGAATATCCACTTGAAGTTCCCGCTAAAAGGTAATTATATATATATATATAATCGTGATAACTTGTATACACATCTTCAAAGAGTAATGATAAACATTACACCTAAACGTATTTCAATGATAACCAGTACTCATGATATACTTGTTTACCTTATCTTCGGTCACATTATCGATGCTGATATCGCAGTCTGTCGCCATCTCCGCTCGTAATCAGGAGAACTCTCAGAGTTCAAAACGAGAGTTGAATTCCATGTCCAAAGTAACGTAAAGAAAGTATTTATCTAACATTCGAGGCTGAAACATATTGATGTCAGGGTATGGACCATTTAATTACAGGGGTAGAGCGTATCGAAATCCATGCAGGTGTGTGCTCAGCAAAGACACCCGCAAAACGTCAACATTGCCACAAACGTTCGTTTGCATCCCCGTAAAAGTAATAGAACATTTGGATTGGATCATGTTACAAGTTAAAAAAAATCATTTAAAAGTTTTATTTTCTATGAATAGCAATGCACAAATTCTGCATCCACGTAGCGCTGGGAATTACATAAATTACGGGGGAGTGGCTATTCAAATACAGGTTAGTAACAGACTGTCTGTTAAAGTAAGACTGTATATTTAGTAAATACGGACAATCTGTTTATAAACAGTAAACGAGGGGTAGTTTATTCGTCATTGCTATTACGTGACAGTGATGGTCAAGAGTTTATTTACAAGAAATGTGTACGCTATATAGAAACATTATCATTATCTATGCCCAATATATAGTCAGAAAGGAAGACTCTTGTTCAGGGCATATTTTTGGCCACTTTGTGATTTCTAACAGTGATATAAGCTAAACAATTGTGATAATCAAATACGAGCTTGAATTGGGAAAAACAGGTTAGCACGTGTATGATATGTTTGCGTTCATATTCAGCAGTTACACGACTATCCAAGGTTATGCTGAACCCATCCATTGCACTAACAAGTACTAGCAATTGGCCAAATATGACAGATTTTCATTTGATTATTGTCCCAAGTGTTCAATTATTTCAAAAAGAAAACTTTTTCGCATCGCCTCACATCACAGTCCCTGTGGTCCAATGCTTGAAGGAAAAGACGACGACCAGATTTCATTATACATCCGAGAGAAGGAAGGAAGGTGATATTTACGATAATCAGAATGTATTTTGTGTCTCATGAAACCATGACAATTTGTAGAATACGATTTCAACTTTAATTTACTTGTTGCAAGAGTAATTCGTCTGAAAGTTTACAAGAATATATGTTTAAACAGCCACATGAAGTTTCCAAATGATTCTCGGTTAATACCACGTGTTAATCCAAACTGTTGGTAATAAGTAAATAACATATACACGACAGACAATTGTGTACATGAATTGTTAGCAACACCTCTGATAACATTGGACCAACGATAGGCGGGACATTCAAATTAAATTTTCCATACCGCACTTGTGCATTCCCGAGATTTCGGAGCCGCATTACAAAGGTTTCTATTGACATTCTGAGCATAGACCAAGGGGATGTTTTCCCATGCACAGACGAAGCCGAAAACAGTGTGCCGGTATATACAAACCACTCACTTGCTCGGCCTTTTGAGTTTAGTCCTGTAACTTACTATCTTTCAAAAATCCACAACTTTTCTGTTTTTTTCTCAAATTTGTACTATTTATTCCAGGAATTTTCAAATTTTTAGCAAATCAGGACCGGATAAATATACATCATAAATGTTTTGATCAGTCTAGTGATTGTCGTTCATATTGAAAATTCCAAAAATGTGAAACTGACAGGATCTTTCGAGAAGTCTATGGAAGTCTGGTAAGTGACGTTGTCTTGGTGCATAACATGGAGCTATTAAAAGGGACTGTGATCAAAACACACACATTTCCAGCATAAAGACTTTACTCAACAAAGAACAACGTATTACAGATTTGTAATAATAGGAAAAGAATATTTTATTACGAATCACAAATGAATGTATCAAGACCAAGCGGGAACGCGATCCGTTGTTAAAACAATGTCTAACCATGGAGCTCCATGGTCTAACGAAGTATGCACGAACGCTTAGCTCGGGGCCAAACTCAAAACACCTTTTTATTCAATGTCCAGTTGGTAGATGTACAATTATTATATTAATAACTATTCATTTTGGTATGCCATTTTCGACATGACTATTAAGGCGAGCACATGATATTTTCACCCAAAAAATGGACTGACGATGAGACTCTGTAATAATGTAACTTTTTGTTATTCTGCAATATGCAAATATTGAATTTGCATTGTTATTGTTTTATAACTATAGAAATAGCATGTATACTTACCTGGTTCTGTACAATATCTCTAGATATCTCGCGTTGATTGTCATGTTAGAAATGGCATACCAAAATGAATAGTTATGAATACAATAGTAAATCTTCCAAATGACCATTGAAAGATCAGCGTTTTGGGCGCTTAGCCTGAGCTGAGCGTTCACATACACTCCATTAGCCCATGCTAAGGATCTGAACCAGGTCTTATAATCGGGCTAGATTTAATCCCTACTTTGCATTTCTTAGCCCCTGTTGTGTTCGCGCACATTTTCCTAGCCCGTGTTAAGGAGCTGTGCGTGAACGCTTCTATAGTACCCACCTCCCTCCCTCCACACATGTACACGTGATCTCAGCGGATACTCGTACTAGTAAACACAGCTGTGACCACGTGGTGTCTTTTGTTACGGTTTTGTTTACCAAATAACAGATAAAAATCTGTGTCATGGAGTATAAAATGGTGAGCTAAAATTATCTTTGTTTCAAGAGAAAATTTTGATGGCAAAATTTCGCTCACCAATCTATCCAACATTTTTCTCTGCAGTACACAGCTGCGAACGTTACTTGTATATTGTGTAATTAGGCATAACAACATCAATTGCGCTTTCAATGCAGTTAACGAAGCCCTATATTTGTTTATTTACAGAAAAAAAACTTGTCCATTCCATGTCTATTTCACGTGATTACGCGTCACTTCTCTAACCGAACTACGCACAGTTCGATGCGCGTTACTTATCACGTAAAGCGCAAAGGCCTCTGGGAAGGAGATTGTTCTCAAACATCAATATTTTGGTTCGTAACTTGGCAGAATTCCAACAATGCGCGACGTCACCAAAGCATACATTTTCAGTACATAAGTTGGCAGGCTGCCAAATATAAAACTGAAGTAAATTGTAGTTGTTTCCCGGGGGCAAATACTAGTGGTTCCTCGTGGGATAAGCATGTGCGTTCTGAATTTCGTAGAAAAGGCTTGTTCAGCGTTTCTTTAAAATAGAGGGTTTTTATTTATTTTTTAAATCAGAGGTAAGTAAGGGATTGTTTTTGATATCGCAGAACAGTCGTAAGTTCTAATCTATATCAGCTAAGTGTCCCGGTTAGTCTATTTACATTTGTATGCAGATTGGCACCTTTTACATTCGCCTTCGAATGTTTGGCAACACATGGCTTCGATACTATTATGGGAACGGCCCCGCCATTGTAATACCGGAAAACGTACAGCATTACAGAATGAAAATACCAGCAGTAACGCGGGTGGCACACAAGCTCAGTCGGAGATTGAATCCACGAGAAACCGATATTCTATAACACTCTTACTAAAATAACACATAAGAATTTGAAGTAAAAAAAAAATTTCAACAATGTTGATGCCCTTTCGGTGTAGCGGCCCAGAAAGAAATCATACATCAGGAAATCACTAGTCATCGTTGAGTAATGCTCAATCCTTATTAAGAAACGACGTCGTCCAGTTGCAACGGAATGAAAGGGACAACACCGTTAAACTGGGCAAGGTGAAGTCGACGATGAAAACTAGGACAGGCCCTTGTGTCCATGAGAGAAGCACGTGTTCTGCTGTGTTTACATACATTAGCATGCGCTGAAATACGTAATAAATTATAGATTCATCTACTTACATAGGGAAGATTCACGGCAAAAATGCATCGTTTATTTGAAACGTATATTACGGAACATACAAAACACGGCATTTATCGGTAAATTGTGTCAGTGCATTCCCGTATTCCGTGACATGGCGATGTTTTTTGCCTCGTGTATTTCCATTCACCTATCGGGATACACGCGTGAACAATATGGAGAAGAAAACGACGTTGAATTTTCGAATGGAATTTTCCGAGAAATAGTAATATGTACTGCGCTCTGTTACTGTAAATAACGATATCAAGTCGCTGATGTAAACACTCTCTGAAAACTGTGACAAAATTGAATGAAGAAGAACAGGACAAAACCAAACAATGTTTTGAAATGGACATGTTGTCGTGTGTATGAGGCCTGCGAAAAAAAACTCTCGGTTTAACAATTCTGAGAATGATCGTCTGTGTTCAACATATCAAAATCGACCAGTAAAATATGTACAGTTTACCTTAGTTTCAGTTGTATGCGGGTCGCTCAGGTCGATGGACTTCGTCATGATTTTTCTGAAAACAGGGAAAATGCCGGCCAATGTTTACACCACGACGATCTTACGCACGAACACAGTACGGCGCGAAAATCATAACAAAGGGGGATAGAACGATTAACATACATAATAAGCTCGCGCGGGGCATTTTGATTGGTTGTCCAGTAATGTCAAACAAGGCGGGGACTCAACATTCCCGGGCATGACAGTCACGTGATACGTAGTAAACTTGTCACCAATACTTCATCAAGTTCAAGGCAATGTTCTAGATCAACTAAGCATAATATATATATTATATAACAATTTGAGAACATAGTACAATATTAAATGAGAAAAAAAAAACATGTTTTGATCTGTTCATGAATGGTGGCACCGAGTATTTACATTTGAATGGCACGTCACTACACAGTCATTCACTGCAATCCGTCGTGGTTGCATAGTTCCATGGTCTACACATGTCGCTGATAATTCATAACACTGTAATCCACAAATTATCATTTCACCACACTTGCTTTTGAACAACATCAGTTATATATATATTTTTTTTATTATGATACATTAATATCATAGAAACAAACAAAAAGAACAATTTTATTAAACATTGCACACCCAGCTTCAGCGTGGTTTAAATAGAGCGTGACGGTGTCACCCTTGGTCACAATACCATGTGAAAAATACCATGGTCAGAGACGTACAACATCAATTTATGCGTTCTGGCACCACGGACCGTATCAGAACCGTGGTATTGGTACTAGTATTGGTGAGTAAGTGTTAATAATTTGAGAGCCGAATGTTGGATTGCGTGTTCATACACATTACAATTCATGGCACCGTACGTATGTTAAAACATTTCTTCAGATATGACAGAAAGAAGATAAGTCGATTCCAGATTACTCTCTAAAAATACCAGAAAAAAATACCATAACCCGGATAAATGCATACAAAGATATGGAATTACTTTATGTATCACGGTTTGAATGCGTGTTATAGAGGACAACGAACCACGGTATGGTAGTGGGAATGTTGATTTCCTTGACCGGGGGTAACAGGTTTAACCAAAGCTATATGTGACGTGCTTGAAGAACAGAAAATTAGAGTGATCATGTAACAAAAGGAGAGTAGTCACTAGAATGGTGTTTATGTATTTGTAGGGGAAACAAATTTTGTATGGGTAAGTTTTAAAATTAAATGTCGAGCTAAAGCTACATTAAATGAACCCCTATGTGCATATGATATCCCCTGGTGCGGCTTAGTCACGTGAACAAAACAGCTACCAGTTTCTAATCAGCGAAGAGAGAGAGAGAGAGAGAGAATGGTTACTAGTACACAGCAGTCCGATGTTATTATTACCCTTCTGTCTTTCACCGGGTTTTGTACATATTAGAGCTCCATTTTAGAGCACAGGGACTGTGTCTAGAAAGACTGTCACTTCAGTTTTGGTTCCAGTCGTGTTAATTTGTTCATGTAGATGCCTATATGGTGTGGATGGGCATGGATTTATTGGGGGATATTATTTTTGATGAGACCCGTAATCATAATCAAAAGATTAAAAGATTAATTGAAATATTATATTTTGTTATATGACCGCCCCTCAAGCGCGCACAACTAAATTAAGAGAATGATATATTTAGATGTGTTGGTCTGCTCTAGACAGATTCAGTATGCTCGATCCATTATGGCATCCTGCTTGCGTGAGCGACAGTAGAAATACTCAAATAGTACTACAATTGATGAAAACATTCTTTTGTCTTACACTACCAGATGTTATATGAGAGAGCCTCCGTCATTTCGTCGAAATTCAAAATGGAATTTCAACGAAATAGTTTTCGATGAAATGAAGTTATACGAGATGTTCATACACACGTGAGGCATTTCCTAGACTGGCACAGCCTTGGCGATTTATTTTATTTTAAAGGTTAAATTAAATAAAAATATCGCGAAATAGACGCGTTAACGCGAAATCACTTGTTTCGCGTTCGGCCCACTGCAAATTTCGCAAAACTTTTTAAAACTTAATTTAACTGGGAAAAAAATCACACAGCTGGGCCAGTCTCGGTATTTCCGTGAAGTAACGGAAACTTGATATCTACGTGTATTTTATTTTTCCAATTTTTCCCTTCTGTGTTCATCCAGGAATAGAGGAACTGTGAATCACCGAAACCTTACAGTCTGGACTCACGTTAGTGGGCGTGTTGGCATACCATTTAAATTATAATGAAGTAAGACTCAAATTCTCTGTTATCTATATTTTTGTTAGAATTCACTCACTCATACACTAAACCATTAATAAATTGAATAAATTTGCACAAAACTTTTCTATCGTGTTATCAACTAGATCTCCAGTACACGTCACTATAGTCTCTAGGAGTTCCGACTGCGGTTAGCTGTACTCAAGTTGTATTGGTATAACGGTACACACCCAACAACCCGACGTGCCAAAGTAAACTGAACGTATGTCCTTGACATATCCCGTCGACAGTGCAGTAAAACCAAGGATTTATATGATGAAGTAAATGTATGCAACTTCATAAGCATGTACTGTGGTATGCGATAAATATCTCACGGAAAGCTAACTCTCGCACTTTGCGAGCGTTGAATTCGAAAGCAATCCCATGAATTCCAATCTCCCACAAAGACATTTATTCTTACGAATGCATCTGTCCAAATCACATTATGTCATTTCCTCCTCAAATATTTAACTTTTAATTCTATATTGTTCCTAGTGTAGTTATATTTTGTATGTCTTAGTTTCAGTTTTTGTTTTTAAATACCATACTGCTGTATCTTCCTGCATCAGTGTCGTGTCAGTAAAATATTATTATCTGTAACCACGTGATACTATGCTTGCCGTTTATTGGTTGATGCGTCACAATGGATCTACCAAATTATTGTCACTTTTGTACCCGGCTAAAGCGTAAGCAATGTTTGTAGATTCATTTTTGACCTTTCTTAGCAAAATCTGAGTGGTAGTAGGATGATTTAGCAGTCAATTCTACGAAGTACTTCCGTTATATTTTCGCCAGGCGAGTCCTACCGATTGTCTGTACTGGAACGGTCACCTTGAAGAACCGAGTATCACTTTAGTAACCGCGTTTTTTCGCAATGAAATTATTTTTTTTGTAAATTATAACTACCGGTATTCCATTCTTTTTTGTGTTTACGAAAAAAGAGTTATCAGGATCATATTCTAAAACTTGTGTACCAGTAGTAAGAAAACATGAGAGCTTTATAATAATAGTAATACCCCAAGAATACGCGTAGTATAAGTGTTGTGACAGTGTGTGGTGGCAGAGCAATCTCCTTCCCATGGGTCTTTGCGCTTCACGCAGTAGTACCTCTGCCACAGCAATTTCAACAAGGAGTATACATTAATTATGCTGGGTCATATAACTTGCAGACATGTTTAAAATGGAACGTGATATATACGGGTTTAATAATATCAAAACAAACGTAACATGTCAAAGGTCATCCCGATATATCGTGTGTTATCATATATGTACAGACTCGGTGTCACATATGTGTGACGTCACATATTCAAATGAGTACGGGACTACATGTGATAGGTAGTAAACTTGTCACCAATACTTCATCAAGTTCAAGGCAATGTTCTAGGTCAATTTACATGGCCAGGTTTTCCGCTACTGTAAACAAGTTGATACCAGTGACGTTTTGAAGCATACACGAAACATAGGATACACAACAAACAAGACACATGTACAAGGTCAATTCACCCGATAAAGGGTATGGTAGCTTTGATTGCCGAGAATTTCAATAATTTCCCATTTCAAAACATAATTTACAGACCCCTTAGGTGTCTTGCATACTTTTACTTTTCCTTTCACTTTTCCTTTTATTTTTACTAATGCTAAAGAAGACAACTTAAAGTTAAAAAGATAAATAAATCACAGTCCCTATATAAAGGGACTGTCGATATGAACGCAGTACCGGTTTTCAGAAAGTAAAATCTACAGTATTTATTTCTACAGAAGAATTGTTTTAAACCATATCAAATAATATATTATATGAAAGCTCATAATTCACACTATCACCCCCGGTTCACCTCATTTATTAAGTGGAGTTTCAAAAACGTCAAACAAAATATTAAAAAAAACCCACAGTTTTGAAACTTTTATATTTTTGAAATGCACGTTTCTCATTTTTAAAAAAACCTACTTTGAGTTGGGAAGGCTTACACGTTTGGCATTTTGAACACATCAGGCATTTTTGAAATTTTTATATTTTTAAAATGCACGTGTGGCATTTTTTTTTTACATTTTTGAAATGCACGTTTGACATTTTTGACATTTTTTAAAATGCACGTTTGGCATTTTTGACATTTTTTAAAATGCACGTTTGAAATTTTTGACATTTTTTAAAATGCACGTTTGACATTTTTGAAACCAGACTTTATCAAATAGAGTTTCCAACAAAACGTGCAAACTCGCATTTCAAAAATGAAAAAAAAAATGTCAAATGCAAAGGGCCACTTGGAGAGAAGGTGAAAATGAACAACTTACTATAGTGCACTGCATTCAAAGCCCCGATCCATATACAAGTATGTATATTTTCTCGCTTTCAAAACAGACACAGACACAAAGAAAACAAATAAACTCGGGGAAAATATAGTAACTAAAATTATAAACCACCGACACTAGTATAAAATATGATAAACGTATTCTATATTGCAGCGACCTGCACACACAATTGCAAAGGCTTAGCTGAAGCCATTAACTGGTGGAACTTATTTTTAGTAGGAGTCAATTAAATATATACTGTTTATGTTATTTTTATGTGATTATATGCCTGACAAATTCACACGAAATGGTGTTCACCATCCTATATTCCATGATTTGTATATTTGACAGACACGTGACTTTTGGCTCCACGATGTCTTCATTGCGAGTCCCCAATTACTGGACGAGGAGATGAACACCGTGGTTGGGGAAACGTTTACCATCACATTTCAGAAATAAGTATTTTTTTGGTTCAAGAAGGAATTTGAAACATCAACTGTGCGTAATTTTAGTTCAGCATTTATAGTTGCATTAAATTTTATTCTACGTACATCAG